TCTCTGTCTCTCTCTCTCTCTCTCTCTCCCTCCCTCTCTCTCTCCCTCTCTCTCTCTTTCTCTCTCTTTCCAATGGACAATTGAAACATCTTTCGTACTACTGTACGATTGCAGATGTCACAAAAAAACACGGATCAATAATTTTGTAGTGCTGTGGAAGCGTATTGAAGCGCGTACGCGTCCCGAACAGTCCAGTGTTATTGACGCGTACGCTTCCCGAACAGTCCAGTGTTATTGACGCGTACGCGTCCCGAACAGTCCAGTGTTATTGACGCGTACGCGTCCCGAACAGTCCAGTGTTATTGACACGTACGCTTCCCTAACACTGCAGTGTTATTGACCGGTACGCGTCCCTAACACCAGCCATTTTAAAATGTGAAGAATACTACCCCGGGGGTATAAATTGACCCCAGGGAGTACGGATAGGGTTAAACAGTAGATTGTACTGTTTATAATTTTGTGCTTTATTCAAAAGTTGAGTTATTAGTTACTCACCCTTCACTACCAAGTTTTTGTTTCTTTTAGAGTCAGTCTACTAAAAATATTGCTATCACATCCAGACATGTATATTTAGTTAGTAACTCAGACGTCAAAACAAAAGTATGAAAATGTGGGAAAGTTGTCTTGAAAATGCTTACAGTCTTACAAACAACAACTTTAAGATAGTAAGCGCAAAGTCAGTTGGGCTTCTCTTGTTATGCCTTGATACCTTTATTGATAACGTGGGAGTGAAAGTGGAGATTTTAGTGTCAATTAAAACTGTTTACCAATATTTGTTTCTAACAATTTAAATAGTACTTTTTGCGAACACTAATAGTAGACAGTTATAAGAATATTTATCATGTTACTCTTACGTGAGTAACAATTCTGACAAATTACTTTTTCTTCATTTCAATAGAACACCAGTCATGGTGATTGTATTCTTCATATAGTGTATTATATTTAAACAGTGAATAGGGTTGTTCAAATGTATTATGGAAAGTATTTTTATTATTTCACAGAAAAAGTTGGACTCTGCAGTCCAGCTTCTCAATGACTACAAAAATGGCAGCTTACCAAGTGGTGTCACTGATGAGCAGTTGTGGAAAGCACAAAAGATCAAACAAGTATGTTCTCTCTATTTTTTTATGCCGGTGGTTTTTACGCCCCTATTGACACAGTCTTGATTATTTAGGAAGTTGGTTTTGACCCTTCCTGTCAGGGTTCACTCGGGCTGAGATAGACACTACATCCCAGCCTGAGATAAACACATAAAAATCAATCTTATCCTGTCTGCTGAAATCCTTGAGGTCCCCAGAAAGATGTTCTTCTTTGCTTACCGCGTTAAGGAAGAAAGACGGTGGCATCTGCCCTGTAGCTGTTGGATATGATTTTCGAGACTCGCGGTCTACCATCCAGTGACGAAATGCCTCAGACAGGAATTCGCCCCTGTACAGGTCAGCATCGGCGTCCGGGGCAGATGCGAATGTGCTGCTCATGCAGCCTGACAGTTTTTCAACATAAGAAGAGATCTGTGTCGGCCAGCCATTATCATAAAGCTCAATATGAAAAGTGCATTTAACAACTTAAGGAGAGACAGGGTGCTGATGGTATGCAGATTCAGGGCCAGTACAATGCACCGTTGGTGTACAGTGACCCAATGGCCCTGCCTTATTTAACATTGGCTTTTCTAAATCGGATTTTGATGACTTCCTACAGAAAGTCCAACACATCTTTTCAGGGGTAAGGGTCACGAAGCTGTCAGAGATGGGAGTGCTGAGAGCACTGATCGATGTTGAAGCTGCTAGGAAGTCAATGGCCAGAAAAACCTCAGTTCTTTGATTTATGTCCTTGGATCGTCGATCCCTCTGACCTCAACCGGGATGACGGCAAAAGGCCAAATGGCATCACGGGCCGTTCGAGGGAGACAAATGTCTTGTTTCGGATGCCACATGCTCTAATTCTTTCTCACCGTTGTCTATCACCTCCTCGGCCTTCGCCCTTGGCAGTATTGCCAAGAAGGACAAAGAGGCCTAGATTAGAAAATATGCTTGCCTCACTGACCGCTACGACTTCGTCCCAGTAGTTGTCGAAACATCGGTTGCTTTTGGTCCCTTAATGACTCAGTTTCTTCAGAAAGTTGGTCGTCGGCTGGCAAACGCCACAGGTAACCCACGGGAAACAAAGTGGCTATTTGAGAGAGTCTCCCAAGTGATCTTTAGAGGCAACGTCTTCTCAATATTGGCAGCCCCACTGGCGCACGAGTGATTGATCATGGCCCTGGGGACTTCAGTTGACAGGGTGACACAGAAAACTGATTCACCGATAGTCGAATGGTCTCCAGGAGGTTCAAAAGAGAGGTGATTTTGACTCTGTGCTGGCTTCATGCTTTATTTTTCTACGTTGATCGTTACGGATCTCAGCATGCCTCACTGTACTAACCTCCTCCTCGTATTTAATTATCTTTTTTTCATCAAATGCTGGCAGGACTCTGTGCCATTAGGTGACAATCGTAACAGGTGGCCAAGCCATTTTAGGGTTTTGCAGAGACATTTTATCACACTTGCAGTGATTTTGCTTTCAAGGATACAAATTGTGCATCCATCTACAAAAAGATGAATTGAAGCATAAAAACGGGTTTGTTGCTTTGAATTTATGTTTAAGAGACATACCTTTCACAATCGTGTTAAGCTGAGGGCACCAATTTTATTCTTTTTGTTTACCATTACTTTGGTATATCTTTATTGCTTTTTATTAATGGATATACTGGGTGACCTTGTGTCACCTTCCGTCAATTTCCTAGCTTGGCGAGCCTGCCATCTTTCTAGGATAGAAAGCCATCGAGTCTTATATATTTCTGACATGATATAATTATTAATCACTCTAATGAAAAGAATGTATGTGGTATAATTTCCTTTCATCTTCTCTGTCACTGAATCCTTGACTTTATATGGATCATCTACAGTACCCCATGCCAAGGAAGGACATGGAAATGGAAA